AAACCTTTGGCAACAAGTCGGACCTTGTAACGTTCGATATTGCCATGAGAGTCACGCTTAGTCTTAAAGACCCATTTACACCCAACACTCTTACATCCTTCTGGCAATTCCACAAGATCCCATACACCATTATATGTCATTGATTTAAGCTCATCTTTCATAGCATCTAACCATTTATTAGAATTATCACCATTAATGGCATCTGAAAATGAAACTGGTTCATTATCAATACTTAGGTCATTTTCTGACTCTTGTAGATAAACCACGTAATCATTCGAAATAGCAGACTTTCTTTCTCTGTGAGATCTTCTTAATACAATTTCCTATGGTTGTTCTATTATCGGATCATTGTTAATCTCATGATCATTAATTTGTTGTTCTTCTTGATTGTCGTGTGATTCTACAACATTTGGAACAACAACTCTTGAAGATGTACTAGTTATTGGAACTTGTACTCTAACTTCCTTAATCTCCACATTTCGTGAAACTTCACTCCCACTGGTTTCACCATTTTCAATGAACCGAGCATTTCCAGTTTCAACAATTCTTGTACTATGAGTAGGACAGTAAAACATATACCCCTTTGATTTTTTCTGGATAACCAATGAAATATCCACTAATTATTCTTGCATTCAGTTTCTTTTCTTGCGGATTATAAATTCTTACTTCTGCCTGACAACCCCAAACATGTAGGTGTCTTAAACTGGGTTTCCTACTTGTCCATAACTCAAAAGGAGTCTTTTGAACCGCTTTACTAGGAACCCTGTTCAACAAATACATGGTAGTCTTCAAAGCATACATCCACAACGATACAGGTAAACATGAATTACTCAACATACTCCTAACCATATCCATTAAGGTTCGATTACGCCTTTCAGATACACCATTTTGCTGTGGTGTACCTGGCATTGTGTATTGAGCACAAATACCACGCTTCTCAAGGAACTTAGCAAACGAACCAGGGTGTTGTCCACTTTCATCATATCTTCCATAATATTCACCACCTCTATCTGACCTGACAATTTTCACCTTTCTGTCTAATTGCCTCTCCACTTCGTTTATATAACTTTCTAAGGCATTTACTGCTTGAGATTTCTCATATAGTAAATAGACATATCCATAACGCGAGAAATCTTCAATGAAAGTGATGAAATACTTCTCTTTATTAAAAGAATTTACGTCAAATGGACCACATATATCAGTGTGTATGATTTCAAGAAGTTGAGTGCTTCTTGTGGCTCCTTTCTTTGTGTGTTTTGTTTGTTTACCTTTAATACAATCCACACATACATTCAGATCAGTAAAATCTAAATCCGGAAGGATTTCATTCTTTACTAATCTTTTCATTCTTTCTTTGGAAATATGTCCCAAACGCTTATGCCACAAATAAGAAGATCTTTCATCCACCAAACTATGTTTAGTGCCAACATTATGATGCAAGGTCATGAGAGTTTCAGCATATAAATTATCCAAATTCAATTTATATAAACCATCATAAAGTGTACCAGTTCCAATCATACATGTATGCTTAAATAAACTGAAACAACTATTCCCAAACTTAAAAGATTATCCAACAACATCAAGCTTAGACAAAGAAACTAAATTTCTAGTGATACTAGGTACATAAAAAGTATCCATAAGGACTAAGTGATATCCAGTGTCAAGGATTAAACGATAAGTCTTAACAGCTTCCACTGGAACCTTGACTTTATTCCCCATGAAGACGAACTTCTCATTTGGGTTTATGGTTCGGGTTGAAAGGAATCCCTGCATCACATTAGAAACATGAGTTGTACATCCAGAATCAATCCACCAAGTATTATGGGGAACCTCAGTTAAATTTGATTCAAAACATACGTAAGCACCATGCTCACCTTTCTTTTCGAACCAAGCTTTACGCTTTAAACAGTCCTTCTGAAAATGTCCAGACTTCCTGCAGAAATTACATTTGTCATTTTTCTTCTGAATGTTAGTAGAGGACTTGTTAATCTTTAATGGTCCTTTACCCTTTCCATGTTTCTTAACAACTTTCTTTTTAGCTCCTTGATTTTTCACGTAATGAATAGAGTGGCTTCCTAGGTTCTTGAGTCTAGTCTCCTCCTGAACTAACATATTGTGCAATTCATGCACATTCCATTTGTCTTTCATGGTGTTATAATTCATCTGAAACGGACCATACTCAGGTGGTAACGAGTTCAAAATGAAATGCACAAGAAAATTTTCTTCCACTGCCATTCCAAGAGACTTGAGTCTTGCTGCGATATTTGTCATTTCGATTACGTGTTCATGCATACTACGAGAACCATCAAACTTCATGGTGGTCAACGTACTCATCAATGTCCCAGCGAGGGATTTGTCAGCAGTTTGAGAGCCCTCTTCCACAAATTTCATAAACTCTTTCGCATCCTCAGTTTTGGGAAGAGCAGACTTAATATTGCTTGCTACACTCATTCGCATAAACATAAGGCTAAGTCTGTTTGATCTTTCCCAAGCTCTATAATGAGTTTTCTCTTCATTACTACTGGCATCGGTGATAGCAGTACGGTTTTTCAACTTGGAAAGCCAAATCAAGATCCAACACACCTAAGTGAAATTGGACTTGTTCACTCCGAGAAAGGGAAATTTAACCCATTAAAGGCTGGAACAGGACGAAGATAGCGAATGCGAGCTACGAGAACGAGATAGTGCAATTAACACATGCCTAACATTAATACTTTGAGTCATAAAATTAAACATATATACAGATTCAACCATAAATTACCATTCTCTGCATACTAATGTTCTCCTTTGGGAGATCCACCAATACACAAACATAATTACGCTAATCATTTTATAACATTAATGATAATTAAAATATGCATCAACTAGAATCACCTAACACCTTTGGGTATATAAATAAAACTAGTGATGCACGGAAAATTATCTACCTTCATGCTCATTAATTATAATAACAATTAATCAACCTTTGGGTGATCCTGAAATGTTTTATAATAATGAACTTCAATTAACCCATAAATCAAATATTCATAATTTTAGCGTTCATACTATGGGTAATTGAAATAAAATCATTAATAATTTGAAATCAAAATAACCTTAAAATTTTGGCCACTTTGGTGACTAACAAAATTTATCATGCTTAATTTCAAATAAATAATATCTTTAATTGCTATTAACCATTCATAGCATTTTTTTTAATAATTTTAATAAATATGTACATTATTCACATAATAAAATATTATGTGTCATAAATAAAATTGAAACTCATAATTTCAATTTTCATCCTAAGATTGATTTTGAATCCAAGACCTTTATTTGCATTTCACGTAAAAGTGAAATTGTCATTCATTCAAAACTTCAAAACTTTTATGAGTAATTTAAACACAGTGGAAACAATACAATTCAGTTTGCAAAACAAAATTCATTCATTTATCAATGTTTACATTATAGGTACATTAACAAAGTTTCACAGTACATTAACAAAGCTTTACAGTACCCTTGACAAAGCTTTCAGTACCCTTGACAAAGCTTTCAGTACCCTTGACAAAGCTTTCAGTACCCTTAACAAAGCTTTACATTACTCTTAACAAAACTTTACAGTACTCTTAACAAAACTTTACGAGTATGAGTATATTATACAACTCACCTTAACATAAAAAATAACTCTTTAATTATCCTTAAGCCACATAAAAAAAATATACGTACAAAATAATGTACAAATAATATGAGGACAAAATAATATAGGGACAAAATGGTTTTCAGCGAGTCACCGAGTCACCAATATGTACATACAAAATAATATTATAAATAATATAATATAATATATGAAACTTGTGTGTTTAACACGTGCTCTCTACGCGCAAAGTTTATCAACTTTACGGTTTATCATTCTTCCATCATAATTATAACATACAATAAAACTAATTTCATACATTATTCACCCTAACCCTATCACGTCATTTATCTTTTCAATTAAAATCAATTACGGGTTCATTCACACATAGGGGCTATAAAGTTGGTTTCAATTTGAACTTGAAAACATAATTAGGGTTTATTCCTTTATTTAATTTTGAGAAAAATAAATTTGGGAATAAATTAGGATTCATACTAATCTGATAAAGAAATCCCTAAATTCATAATTAGGGTTTATCTTAATTTGGGAAAAACTTAATATTTGGGAAAACTTTCATACAAGGAAAATCATAAATCTAATAATCAGTGCTCTGATACCACATGTAATACATTATGTAGTTTTCCTACGTTCTTAATTCATTATAGAAAACTACTCTACAAGATCTTTAGATTATTGATTTTCACAATTTTGCATACATCAATACATGAATCATAGTAAGAAGACTAACTTTGATCCATGAGAATCTTTTCTTTGATCCTTTCGTTCTCCAATCTCCTTTTCCCAATCTATCTCTTTGCCTGCTCTTTCTCTTCTCACGCTTCGCTTTCTTGATGGTTTACCGTGAAAAAACCTTATGGCCGAAGACAGAACCCAAATCCCTTTTATTAACCAACGTCCATCAAGTTGGTTACCGTAAGTTAATATTTTATTTTATCTTTATTTTATTCTGACTTCACATAATAACCAATAGGTCCTCATATTTTATTAAATCACATTTGGGCCCATTATTATATTTCACATAAGTCACATAATGGAATGAATTAATTAAATTAATTCTAACATAAACCAATATACATGTAGTGTTTTCATCTTCTTGTCCAACATATCTATTTGCTTATCTTATTCATTTCTTGTTTATTAAAAAAAATGTTTTAAACTAATTAATATTAAAAAAAACTTTATTCAAACCTCCCCTTTCTAGAGCTAACATGTGTTTTCACCATGAAGCATCCGATTGAGAACCATTTTGTCATGTATAATCATTCATTTTTTTCTTTTAGATAACATAATGTTTCTTGTACAGATTCAAATTTAGATTTAGGGGTAGATTCAGACTTGTCACAGCTTCAAACATTGATACAAGTTGCACTTGTGATGATTCTGGCATGTGTATCATATGTGTTGAGATAGATTTTTCCATACATGCAGTTTCTACTTCCTTTACTAGTGTAAATCCTTTGCCACAAGAGGTGCTTGAAGTAGTTGTTGACAAACTTGTTGTTGTTCCCATAATTTAACGACCATCTATTCATTAGCCACCTTCCTTAGAGTTGAAGTTACCTGACCATTGAAGTATATATATCCGGATACATATCATAAGCTTTCAAGCATCATATTCAGGAGTCTTCTTCAAGACTAGGAGAAGTTTCTACAAGTTTTGACACTGTACCAAAGAGCATTGCTTGGACACTTGTTGATATATCAAGTATTAGTCCAACTATTTGTATGGACTAAATTTAATTAGAGAACATTTCAATCCTTCCATTATGATATTGTTAAGAAGAAGGTGAGGAAACTACTGACTACTGATATCATCTATTTCAAATAGTACATGAGTTTCACCTATCCAAGTAGTTACTAAGAAATTTGGTATGATTAACCACAATGTAAGCTCTTTTACATATGCTCAATCACAACCAAAATCATAAAAATCCTCATAAAAATTGTTTTTTTAATGAAAGATCTTTTAATTTGTTAAAAGTTGGGTTAATCAATTAAAATGTGAAAACATTGTGGGAGAGAGTGATAGAAATGTGAAACATGTCTCTACATTTCCAATAGATGATTTTGATGAAAATTCAAGTCAACACCATTCAAGACTCAAGCAAGCTCAATATATGATATTGATGAAGATACAACTCAACACCATTCAAGACTCAAGCCAGCCCAAGATGAAGCATGAAGACTAGATATACATTCTGAAGAAGATGATGACTCAAGCTGTAACACCCTACCTTATAAACCCTCTATTAGAAGAATCAATAATTTTTAGCAGGAATTTTTTTTTTAATAAAACCAATAATAATCTGTCCCTCATACATAATATTAATATGTTAAACCAATGCATCAATCATAAAAATAAACTTTAACATGTAAATTTTCAATAACTCATTCCTGCATTTCATCATTTTCGAAAGTACTAAAAGTAAACATTCATAATTACATATAGATAAAATACTAGTACAGTCCTTCAAATAATTGAGGGCAACATTGGGGATAACTTCCTACAGAGCAGTAAGCTACACAAAAATACATTCTGAAGAAGATGATGACTCAAGCTGTAACACCCTACCTTATAAACCCTTTATTAGAAGAATTAATAATTTTTAGAAGGAATTTTTTTTAATAAAACCAATAATAATCTTTCCCTCATACATAATATTAATATGTTAAACCAATGCATTAATCGTAAAAATAAACTTTAACATGTAAATTTTCAATAACTCATTCCTGCATTTCATCATTTTTGAAAGTACTAAAAGTAAACATTCATAATTACATATAGATAAAATACTAGTACAGTCCTTCAAATAATTGAGGGCAACATTGGGGATAACTTCCTACAGAGCAGTAAGCTACACAAAAAAGTGACTATTACCTAGTACCATGTAGGTATATGTACTACAAAAGACTGCCTAAAAAAAAGTTTGGATATGTTTATCCCAATACTGTAAGAATTAATGGTTGAGTTCAAGAGGGGGGTGAATTGAACTTTGAAACCTTTTTCAAAAAACACTTTCTTTATGGAAGAATGATTAATCTTTTATTAGGCAGATTTGGTTAACAAAACAAGAATATAAACCAAAAATGAAAAGAGATAAATGCAGAAATACAGCACAAGATTTTACACTGGTTCACTCTTCCCAAGAGCTACATCCAGTTCTTGACAAATCTTTCAAGTTCCACTAATACCAAGTGAAAATACAAACCAGTAGATACAAACCAATCTACCCCAAGATCTGCCTTACAACACCACAAGATAGACTCTTGAAAAAACCACCCAGCAACCAAACCCAGTTGTTCTAACCAGTGCAGATTCAAACCCAATCTACACAATTAAAGTTCGTACAAGTATTGAAAAGAATAAACCTGGACTGCAGCTTTTACAATATAGAAGTCCAGAAGTAAATTTTCTAACACAGAACTTTCTCTCTTGAATATCTTTCAACAATCTTGATCAAAACGCCTTATGATATGAAATGTGTATGAATGCTCAGAAAAACACACGAATATGAGAACTCCAAGATTGCTTTTAATCGATTTCCAAATTGTATATCGAAAGAGAAATCAAAACTGTATTTATAGAGTAAAAGAGACAAAACTGATAGTTTCAATTGATTAAAATGATGTTTTAATCAATTGATTTCATTTAAAACTCTTTCAATTGGTTAATTCGAGCTTTTAATGGATTAAAACTGCTGGAAGTAAAAATGGTAGCTCTCTATTTTAACAGATTAAAATTCATTTTAACAGATTGAAAATCTGAGATACTTAAAATGAAAGAATGGTAGCTCTCTGTTTTAACAGATTAAAATTCATTTTAACAGATTAAAAATCTGAGATACTAAAAATGTGAATTCTGACTTAGAACATTTTAATCTATTGTTTTATCAATTTAACAGATTTATACTGTGAAACCCTTAACATAAAAGCATCATCAAGAATATTTCAATCTATTGATTCTACGATTTAATCAATTAAAATATTGGTTGTATATATACATTTCCTATTTTAAGTGATTTTAACATATTAAAACTACTTTTTAACAGGTTAAAAAACTCAGTTTGTTCTTTCAAAGCTTAAAGATTGATTTTTCATGAAGTATGATAAATTCTATGAATACAACAGTTATAGGCACTTATCACAAGATATACTAAAATTATCAAGAGATTAAATTCAATACCTATAACCTATCTACCTACACACCCACCAAATAAACTTTATATGTCTTCATCAAATCCAACAAGTGCTTCAATCTCCCCCTATTTGATGGAGACAAATATCCACTGCACCTGCATAAAAAAACAGTAACAGAGCAACAGAGACATAGAGACATATAATTGTGATGTGTGTGTGTAGTGACAGTATAGTAAGCATATTCTTCTCCCCCTATTTGACTTCATCAAAGAGATAAAAGTGTTCATATACAGGGCATAAGTACCATATAGGTACCCAAAAAATAAAACAACCAAAACAAACATAAGTAAAATAAAGCTACAAAATAGAGATTTCATTCATCACCATCTGATGTGACTGATTTTCAGCACATCTTAAGTAGCTTATAATGTTATATTATTGTTTATAATATGTTAATAAAGCTTAATTAACTATAATTTGTATTACTAGGCCTTTAGAAGCCGTAATATAAATTTCTGCATAAAAACAATAAATTAGCTGTATTTTATTGTATACGGGTACTGATATTAGTTTACTGTTTTATTTATTATTTTTTCTACAGAGATCCTAAAATCATTATTCTTGAAGCAGTGAAAGTTAGACAAATTCATCTTTCCAGCGGATCAAGAAACACTCAATTCTGAGCTAAATTGAATTTTATATAAATTATTTAAGGGAGGTTACGCGCACAGAGTCGGTCCACCGGGCATGCCTCAGTAAAATAATTATCATAAATTCGATAGACCGCCAAAATTAGTGAAAACGGTGGCGTTTGAAAGATAACTTAACAAGCTTTCTAATGAGACCAGAATCGTTTCATTTGAAGAATAATTGAGAAAACTGCAAGCATTCGAATTGCGCGGTACTGCACTGAAACGAAGACAGTGCGACTTTTCAACATCTTATTGGATTAGGTCCGGTTATGGGCCTTGTAAGTTGTAATTGTACATTAGTTGAAGTATATAGTAAATTAACTTAATGTAATAACATATAGTCGAAGTTTTCAAGTTCAGATTCAATCAAATCGATCAGAATTCTCTCAGTTGTTCTCTCCACTGCACCATGGCTCTTTCTCCTTGCTTGCATCTCAATCTTCCATGTATGTGTTCATTCTTCTTCATTGTTCTTCACGAATTGGATCTGGATTTCCTTCTTCTATCATCTTTAATTGTTTTTCTTTACTGAATTCATGAATTAGATTAGGTTTTTACCGAACAAAATCTGCTGGAACTGAATTGCATGTGACAACTTGTTTAAGACTTGTGTTCTTGACTTGCTTTAGCTTGTGGATGTCTCTCGGTTGAGGATTGAAGCTTGCAATCACTTTGTTGAACTGTATGGTGAATGCTTGATTGATTAATTAGGTTTTCACAATGTCAAAAACGCAGTAGTTTTGCAATTTTGCTTACACCGAATCTGCTCCATAGTTCTTGTTCTTGCTTTCTTTAATTTTCTGCATTTTACTGCTTTTACTTTACCTGTTTTGATGTTTTAATTGCTTTACAGTCACGGTAGCTAGGTTTTATTGCTTTGTTTACTTGCTTTAATCTTTGTAGAAGCTTAGTTTTAGGTTTAGATAGATTTTACTGCATTGTTTTAGGTTCTGTCATAGATTAGCATAAGATTAGAATAGTTTAAGTGTAGCTAGGTTCTCATTTTAATTTTCTCGCACTACAAATTCCCCTTGAATACTGAAAAACTCATAAATATACATTACTTCACTCATTCCATCATTCACATCACACATTTACCACTGTTTTGAACATTTTGACTGAAGTGACCACCGTCACTCGGTCAGGTTTTCAACCACACGCACCAAAACAATCTCACACGGTCATCTCACATTTTTAAAACTCAAAATACAAAAATATTTGCATTTACATCGGTCAACCATACATTTTATACACTTCATTTGATTCTTCACCGAGGCATTTCTTCATATATTCATTTTGACCGAGACCTTTTATTTTGTTGATTTTCTCGACCACTTTTCTCGACCACAAGTACTCGTTCACTACTCGTCATTTTCCATTTTAAAAACTCAAAACTCAAAAATAGTTACATTTCACTCGGTCGATCATATATTTTACACCTTGCATTTGATTCTTGACTGAGAAATTGTTTTTACATTTCATTCGACCGAGAGTTCACATTTCTGATCGTGGTTTCTAACCGTGGTTACTATTCATTGTGGTCGATTTATGAATTTTGTTTAGCTTCATTCATCTGAATTTGTTTTCATTTCTGTCTACATTCTTATAGGTCAATCATATATTTTGTTCACTAATTTCCATTTTTGACCGAGACAACTCATTAGTTTTTGTATGTTGACCGAGAGCACAAAATTTTGACCGTGATTCCTGACTA